TGTTACTTCTGACCAACAAACACGCAAACTAATGAACAAATAATCCGTGGGTATTTGGCGGGTGCTCTTGTGTGGTTTGCTTCTTCTTTCCTATCAAACATCTACGGTCCTGATCTCTCCACCTTTTTTTTTTGTGTTTGTTACTCTCTTGTAACACCTCTAATCTTCGGCACTTATATGACCTTATTGTGTTGCAAGTGCCGTAAAACTCTTACTAAAGCAAAAAAAACCAAGACAGTAGAATCTACACGTTTATGGTTATAATTCAACAGTTTTCTCTTATGTTCTTCTCCCTCAGATATTAGAAGGTTTGTGGTTCCTGCACCACATGAGATTACAGTACAATAGTTCTGTCTTGTCTTCTTTTCTCTCAGGTATTAGAAGGTTTGCGATTCCTGCTACATCTGAGGACACAGTACAATAGTTTCCTCTTGTTGCTTCTTCTTCTTCTTCCTCGTTCTCGATGACAGCAGCTAGACAGTCGGTCCGATTTCGCACACAAACTGTGCTGTTTGCTTCAACTCTGAGAGACTGCCATAGAGCTCTCTCTCAAGGGGAGTCACATTCTGCCACGCCTATGTACGAAGGGTGGCATAGCGCGGGCAGTGCTGAAGGATATGGTTGGCATCCTCTTGGTCGTGTTCACATTCACAGATCGCGGACTCTCCCACTTTTAATTTAGTGTTTGAGTCTGTCGTGGCCACAACGGAGTTGAAAGATTGTGACCTGGTCTGCTGCAACATCTGAGGTTACAGTACAACAATTTTGTCTTGTCTTCTTTTCTCTCAGGTATTAGAAGGTTTGTGATTTCCGCTACATCTGAGGACACAGTACTATAGTTCTGTCTTTTGTCTTTCTCCCTCAGGTATTAGAAGGTTTGTGGTTCCTGCACCAGGACGCCAAGATGCTGCACCGTAACGTGTGCCCGACCTCCGTGCTGCTGGCCAAGACAGGGACGTGGAAGCTGGCGGGCTGTGAGTTTGTGCTGCAGGCCTCCGACACGCAGGAGCAGAATGTGAGTGGGATTTGTGCTGGTGTGTCAAAATGTGGTGTGTCAGAATGTGATGTGTTAGGATGCAGTGTGTTAGAACGTGAGTGTGCTTTGTGCTGCAGGCCTCCGACACGCAGGAGCTGAATGTGATTGGGATTTGTGCTGGTGTGTCGAAACGTGTGTTGGGAATTGAGTGTGTTTTGTTCTGGTGTGTTTGAATGTGGTGTGTTTGAATGTGGTGTGTCAGAATGTGCGTTTACTTTGTGCTTCGCGTGTCGAAATGTGGTGTGTCAGAACGTAGGTTTACTTGTGTGTGTCTTGTGTCGACTATGTCTTGGTTCACTTTTGTGTCAACTATATCATAGCTCAGTGTCATGTTTTGTGTCAACTGCGTCTTGTATTGATTGAGTCGACTGTGTCTCAATTCAGTCAATGTGTTTTGTGTCACCCATGTCTTAGTTCAATCATGTGTCTTGTGTCGACTCTGTCTTAATTCAATCATGTCTTCCGCCATGTTGCAGCCGGTGTACAGATTCGAGGAGTGGCGCAGCGACGTGCCCCCCGAGGCCCAGCCCAACCTGGACTACCTGGCGCCCGAGTGCGAGCTGACGCAGCGCGTGTCCCCGTCCAGCGACATGTTCTCCTTCGGCGTGCTCATGTACGCGCTGTTCAACAAGGGCCGCACGTTGTACCAGAGCCACGGAGAACTCACCACGCACCGCAGAAACCTGCAGGAGGTGATGCGGCCGCCCGCCTTTTTTGTTTGTCTCTAAGTCAGAGGGTGTCTTTGTGACTAATCAAAACACAAACGGACAAATAGAGACTTATAGTCCCACGGTGTCTGTTTGTTACTTCTGTGTGCAATGCATGCCTTTTTAAGTTCACACTGTCTCACAGCGAAACCGAGATTGGCTCTTTAAATCAATTTGCGTGTGTGTCGCGACGTGGTGGAATCTTTTGCGATTGAAGGAGGGGTTGGCGGGTGGGGGTTCTGGGGTGGTTTGCTTCTTCTTTCCTGTCAAACATCTATCGTCCTTATCTCCCCTCCTTCTTTCTTGTGTTTGTTACTCTCTTGTAACACCTCTATTCTTCGGCACTTCTATGACCTTATTGTGTTGCGAGTGCCGAAAAACTATTAGTAAGTGGGTGGTTGGTGGGTGCTCTTGTGTGGTTTGCTCTTTTTTTCCTATAATACATCTAGTGTTTGTTACTCTCTTGTGACACCTCTAATCTTCGGCGATTATATGACCTTATTGTGTTGCAAGTGCTATAAAACTCTTACTTAAACTACTAAAACGCTTACTAAAACTTTCAATGACCTTGACCTTGCCCTGTACGTCCCCAGCTGAGCGGGCTTCGTAGCTCTCAGCTGTCCAACATACCGCCGGGCCTAGTGGACCACGTGAAGCTTTTGCTCAACACAGAGCCCACGCTACGGCCCGACGCCGCACAGATGACCAAGGTTAGTAGGTGTGTGTCATGTGTGTGTCAGTGTGTATGTGTCGGTGTGTATGTAAAGCTTTTGCTCAACACAGAACCCACGCTACGGCCGGACGCAGCACAGATGGTCAGTAGCTGTGTCGTGTGTGTGTCATGTGTATGTGTGTGTTGGTGTGTGTGTTGGTGTGTACGTGAAACTGTTGCTCAACACAAAGCCCACGCTTTGGCCGGACGCTGCACAGATGACCAAGGTCAATGGGTGCGTGTCATGTGTGTGTGTCATGTGTGTGTCAGTGTGGGTGTGTCAGTGTGCCAGCAAGTGTGTGTCAGTGCATGTATCTAAGGGTGTGTCAGAGGGTGTGTGCCAGTGTGTATGTCAGTGCATGTGTCACTGTTTGTATCGTAGCGTGTGTCCATGTGTGTGTTGGTGCATGTGTCAGTGACAGACAGACAGACAGAATCAGTGACAGACAAAACAGACGGAATCAGACAGGTGACAATTTTTCCCCTCTATTGTTTGAGTCCCAAGTCATGACATAACCAGCGGGTGCCCCTCCCTCTATGCTGTTTTCGCAGGTCCCATTCTTCGAGGACATGGCGTGCGTGGCGCTGCAGTACATCGACTCTCTCTACCAGCGGGAGAACATGGAGAAGGCCAACTTCTTCAAGGGACTGCCCAAGGTCATTGACAGACTGCCCAAGGTAGGTCCGTTGAGG